CAATGGAATTTCCCATTGGGAACCTGCTAGCGCTAAGTTGCTAACTGTTGCTAACCAGTTGCTAACTGGTTAGCAACTTGGTGCTACTTGGTCCCAATGGAATTTCCCATTGGGAACCTGCTAGCGCTAAGTTGCTAACTGTTGCTAACCAGTTGCTAACTGGTTAGCAACTTAGTGTTACTTGGTCCCAATGGAATTTCCCATTGGGAACCTGCTAGCTCTAAGATGCTAACTGGTTAGTTAGCTAAGTTGCTAACTGGTTAGCAACTTAGTGTTACTTGGTCCCAATGGAATTTCCCATTGGGAACCTGCTAGCGCTAAGTTGCTAACTGTTGCTAACCAGTTGCTAACTGGTTAGCAACTTGGTGCTACTTGGTCCCAATGGAATTTCCCATTGGGAACCTGCTAGCACTAAGATGCTAACTGGTTAGCAACTTGGTGCTACTTGGTCCCAATGGAATTTCCCATTGGGAACCTGCTAGCACTAAGATGCTACATTCACTTTATTCACTCATGTAAAGTCGCGCACCACTTGGGAGAATTCAGAAATGCAACAGTTGGAAAAGCCGCTTTCTTACAACTTAAAAGGTAGAAAACATTTCCCTGTTTCCTCAGATTCAACCAGCTGGTTTTCATTTTCTTTCATTTCTTCTGCCCCCCCGCAGCCCTCTACCTGTGATCAGCTGACTCCTCTGGACCAATCAGCTCCTCAGGAAGTTGACCAATGGCCAGAGCAGACTTCAGGTCAGAAACTTTATTGATCTCATCAAACACTGACAGACACAGCAGGCAGGAAGTGTTACCATGGAAACCTGAGGAAACCTGCTCTGTAGAAGTCCGTTTGTTTACACTGAGCATGTTTAGCTGAGCACCCTGAATGTAGTCCTGCTCTGACTGTGACATCACAGAGGGGGCGGGGTCAGCTTTTTTTGGTTCAAAGCCAGCAGGACTGAAATACAAATCTATACTCAAATAGAAACCTTAAAATAGAACTCTATAGAGATGCAGCAGGAACAATAGAAACTCTGAAACATTACAATAAATTATCAGCTGTGGGAATAAAGCTCCGCCCACCACCAGGAATCAACATTCCCGACCAATCACAGCAGAGCAATAGGGATGACATCATTGTTTATGTCCGGGAGATAAAATCCAGAGAAAGTAGTGGGTGAGGAGGCGGGGCCACGGTGTGACATCATCACTGGCTTCCTGTTAGAATCCTGCTGACATAGACGGTGATGATGTCACGCTCATGACTTCATCACAGCGTCACTCCTCGCTGTCCATCGCAGCATTATGACCTCATCCCCACTGATGATGTCACTCCTCTGAGGGGAGCATCTTTCCGCTGTGCTCTGATGCGGCCGAGGTCTAATGAAGTCAATCAGCCAATCAGACGGCAGCAGCCACGTTGGTAACCACCTACAGCTGATTTAGGCCCCGCCTCCTTCCAGCTGGATCAGCTGCCCTGCATGATTGTCATCACAGTCAACGTCCCAGAATCCCTTTCACATTGTACTCCTCAGGCTAAACCACGCCCCTCCTCAAAGAGGGCGGAGCCTAAGACAGCAATCAGGTGTTCAAAGAGAAGCAGCACCTGAAGACACCTGAGTTCAGTGGGACGCCAGAACTTTTCATTAGTAAATAGGTGACTGAGAGGGAGGGGCTGGATTATGAGGGGCGGGGCTTATCTTCAGGAGTCTGAATGTGGTCAGTCAGATGCTGTAATCCTGAACATCTGATTGGCTCTCGTCCTCAGCCTGTGACTGGCTCTCATCCTCAGCCTGTGATTGGCTCTCGTCCTCAGCCTGTGATTGGCTCTCGTCCTCAGCCTGTGATTGGCTCTCG